ATAGAAGATCACCATAATTTTTTTTCTCTAAAATGTGCGATCACGACGAGAGAAGTAGCAAAAAAAACATATTTTAAAATTCAAGAGAGCATTGTCTTATAATAATTCTCTATATCTTGGTTAAAAGTTGATTGAACTATTGCACTTCAGTATGAAAAATTGCATATCAAAGGCTATTGAATAAAGACGTGTTTTTGTCAGAGATACAAAAAAAAACGAGTTGGAGGATAAAAGAACGAGCTCGTGCAGCGCGCTATCTATTTCTCACACCGCGGCGAATGTATTTTACGTTTTTTCTGTGTATAATTTTAAACACTAGAAACTGGTAGTATGTCTCCTTAACGAACATCAGTTTTTAATTAATCTGTAAGGTACGATTTAGTTATATAAAAAGAAGACCTTAGAAGTACAAGTAAAAATATATCTAAAAACAGATAATATATTGGCGCGACCACGAATTTGTATGAGTAAAGTCTGGGTAATAATTTGCAGGAAAAATTTTAAAAACTCAATTAGTTTCTTCAAATATATATTCTATAAATGAAATATAATTAATTATAATTTATTCAACGGGAATAAGTGACTAAAATATATTATTGTAAAGTAATAGGCCCATGATCAAAAATAGTGTGTGAAACATATGCAAATTTCCATGCGAAAAAGAAGAGTGAGAGAAAAAGAAACACACGAAGAGAAATTATGAAAGAAAATGATTGAGATTTTTATCTTGTACATATCTGAAGATGTAGTAAAATTGCAGCAGAACAACAAGCATATAATATAACGCCATTTTTTCATGTATGCTCGTTATATTTATAGATCTATGTTCTATAAACTGTATACTCTAAGATTTGTGATCATATCTCGTTGTGTGAAATATATAAAATAAGGAATGTAATTGACTCATAAACATGAGTTGAGAATCTTGATTTATCACACATTAAATAATACTCAACGCGAGAGAGTGTATGACAATGGTGCATAATAAAAGACTTTTGCTTCCCCATCACGACTAATACCTAAAGAGCCTTTCTTCTCAAACGAGTTGCGTGTGGTGGCTGAGTCCTTGTTCCAGTAGCACCCCTCACACTTGCACTTTTCCACACGAGACAGTTCCTCATACGAACTGTCTGCGTCTGACAGCATCGCGGCACCCCCACAATCCGTGCGGCGTCCGCAGGTGATCGCAATCGGCGCAGAAGAGGAAGTGGGGGAGGGGGGCGCGAAGGTGTTTTTCGTAAATTTCACTTTACACGCTCCTATTTTGTCCGTTGCATCGAATTGTCCAGCGGCGTTGGATTCAGGAAGCATGTCGCCATCGCGCTATAAGGCACATTTTTTAAATTTTTGTTCGTCAGGAGTTTGAGAACTATTGTCAAAATTCGCGTTTTTGCTACATTTTTGGAAAAAGGTCATCGTAGCGTAAATTCTATTTTAAAAAGGCGTAAAATTCCGTTTACAAATCGAAAATCGGACCATTGATTCAGACGTAATCAGTAAAGTAAATTCCCCTGTGACAGTGCTGCGATCTATTGAATTTACCTACAAGTATTTTTCGGTGCATTTAGCCTAACACCTTTCAATACTTCTTGCTCTGTTGAAACACTTTCTCATTCTCCGAAGGCCCTCGCCTAATATTGTCATAATGACATACGAGATCCACCCAGTAGCAGCATAGCACAAGCGACTAATGAAACTGATCGCTGAATCCAGGTCCGCTCTTTCCATATCCGGGAAGACGTCTTAGATTACGACCTTTGACCGACGATATTTTACCAAGCTTCCTAGGGTTGGAATTTGTGACGCTGAGTGAGTGAGTGAGTGAGTGAGTGAGTGAGTGAGTGAGTGAGTGAGTGAGTAAGTGAGTGAGTGAGTAAGTGTGTGTGTGTGTGTGTGTGTGTGTGTGTGTGTGTGTGTGTGTGTGTGTGTGTGTGTGTATTATGAAATGAATTTATTTTCAGGACGTAGTCCCTACGTTCACAATAGCAGAGGTTCATTGTTCACTGTAACCGAATTTTAGGCTTATTTGTAATGTAGTAAGTGAAATGGGACCAGTGAGATTCACTATAACCGGAGTCGACTGTGTATATTTCCCCGCAAAGCCTAAATATCCGGTTCAAAAAAGCAGGAGTTTGAGCTCCTTCAGACTGATTGAAGAATACCAATTTAGGAGAAAATCGTCTGGGGCTAGCGTTGACCCCCTAAGGCGGGCGGCACAGTAAAACGTGTCAGTGCACAACACTTCTGCCTAAACCGTATTTTTGGAAAATAATACTTTTCGCGTAATATTATGTAAAATACAGACAATTTTTAAGGAATTGTTTTCCTTAAAAAGTCTCCAAATTTCCTTAAGTTTTTTCGTCAAGGACGGTAAGAAATTGTGCTGGTCACATTCTCGGGAAACTCCATTGTTTCGAAAATTTCGAAAAATTAACATTGCCAAAGTACAATATTGACGATAGAGATTTATTCTTAAATAAAATTTGTTCTAAAATAATTAACTTTAAATAAGATAATCCAAATTGTTAAAAAACTAATAGTTTTCGCGTAATTTCTTATTGACATTAATGCAATTTATAAAATAATCCAAAAAGATGGCTCCAATTTTTTTCTTTAAACTTTTTCCACGTTAGTGACTTGTAATTCCGCAATTAATTATGAGGATGCTTGTTGCCTTTTGAATATTTGTAGATTTTGTACATTAAGTAAAATTTTTAAAATTCAAGAAAACTTTTTCCGCGAGTAAAGAACGCTTAAAAATGGCGCAGATCACATTTCCGTTGATCTCTCTTTAATCTTCGAAAACAGTAATGTGCGTCTATGCGTAAAGAACCACATTCTATGTCTACACGTAAACGCGTAGACAAAGACAATCTATGTAGACAACGGCAATCTACATTTTTTGTGGGGCAGGGGGAATCTACGAGGGCCACTCTCAGCTTCCAAAGCCATTTTTTTATAATTAAATATTAATAAATTGGGAATAATTATTATATTCAATTTATCCAATACAATGCTACACATTGATTGGATCACATCAAAAATTATGAATATATCACCATGAATAAACATCTTTTTAAATTTCAAGTTAACATTGTTTTTTTTTCAAAAACATTTAATCCCTCTTGCGGAAGCGAAGAGGTTGGCGACATTATCAGGGATCTGCACAATAATTCTGCGCATCGGATTGGTGACACTGCACTTGAAGGGAACGTGTCGGATGCAGAATGGTCTGATATACAAGTTGAAACAAATTTCTACTAGTTTCCTGGGATAGTTACAGAGGTTGTCATTTCTTCATCAGGAGTGGTATATTTTGTTTGACTTACTGAATCGAAAATGAAGTTTTTAATATTACATTTCAATAGGTTTCTACTATTAGTACTTATAAACATTTAGGCGGGTTATTTGATGTGGAAAAATAAATAGTCAACACAGCTTACGCTGTGTATGTAGTCTACACATAAAAAGTCATGTAGACTATATGTAGAAAACACGCGTAGACGTAAAATTACAGTGTACGGCACAACTCTGGTTAGAAATAATGCGAGAAACCACTAGGTATGTATGACACAAGAATGACTCAATACATAGTTTGTGACGGTATTTATTATATTAGCACTTATTTCAGTTTGATGTGGAACTTGACAATGATATTAAATAAAAGTGGTACAAACGTTAAAAGACGTTTTTCGCAGAGCTACCTTTTAGCAATATGCCCTTTGTCAGGAGATCGCCTAAATTGTAATTCGCATATATCGTAAATGTAAGGTCTGTCTCGGGATGCATGCACACAAAACATATAAAACGTAGCAAAAACTGCAATGACAGAATAAATAATAGGGGCTTTAAGGATTTCTTTATTTATTTACATCAAAAACGGTTGAAAACTGTTTGTGATATGATTCGGGAAGCAATTAATCTGAAATTACGGCAACTGTGGATCCAACTAAAATTCAACTATAAATTACAAGGTTACACGGCACAGTTATGGAAATGAGATAGGGATAACCACTTTCTGCCAAGTCTTTCCCAACTTACCTGTAAAAAACATACTGGGTACGCGAGATCTATAAAATCTCGGTGCAAGTTTCGCCGAACAAATTTGTCTTGTCCGATTTTTTACCCAATTCAGATTGTTCCTATTGCTCTCTCCCTCTCCCTCTCCCCCTCCCCATTCAGCACCTAGAATGAAAGACAATTATCGTTTCTCAAATAACGACACCTACCAACGAGACCAGTAAAGTCAGCAAATTTTGGCAGCTACTCTGCTATATTACACTACTTGTTTGCACCTCCAGAAAGAGCTTTGAGTAGCCATGTTGGCTGGCTAGAATCTTCGCGCCGTCGGAGTTTCTAAATAACCACGACAATTATAAGAAACACTACCTTCACACAAAGACCGTAGGACACTGATCTTTCACCTCTCTACATGTAATAAAATCCACTGACGATATTAAAAGGGTGTCATCGGCTGTTCAGTACCTCTCAATGACTAATAGTCAACTCATTATGAGAAAATAACATATACGCTCAACAAATAAAAATTGTGTAAAAAAGAGAGCATTGATTAAACGCGTATGTTATTTATATATTTTTATCTAGTATTACAATTGTCTCAAAAATGTCCCCAACTTTTTAATATCAACGAAATGTTTTGGCTTTTTCTGATTTTCAAGAAAGTGACCAATTGGCAATACCATTAACAAGCATAAACTGTCCAACTCTTAGTACCTCTCTCGAAAAAAGGAATAGGAAAAAGGCTTTCTTGCTATGGACTGTGATCTCACATGCATTTTCGTTTTTGAAACTTCAATAAGTATGCTATATAATATATTCTATAAGTATGCTTCTATAAGTATACTATCTAAAGAAGTACTTAATAGCTAAAATAATTGAACCGCAGAGAAAAAAAAAAGAATACGTCATGCACATGCTGGTGACTACCACCTCATTTTCTACAGAGCAGTAGCATTCATAGAGAAAGGCAAATTGCTCACCGTTCAATCTCACCCTTCACAGACACAACTCTCACAACCGGCTTAATTGATACTAGTGGTTTTCTGTTTTCAATGCTGTGAAGGCCGCACTCTGTACCCTTAAACAATAGAGAATAATGAGCATTAAAAACAAATCTCAAAAGCTAATAACTTGTATAAATTCTGAGAAAATATATGTTTACAATTAGGGTTAGGAAAATGTAACATCACTATTAATAAACAAGAGATGAACATAGGATTTCTCAAAGGTATTAAGCATCTCTCTACTAAGTACTAGAGAAAAGGTATTGTAATGATGGCGATTTTCTGACAGAAAAATTCTTGTCGGACTCTGGTAACCAAAAATGGATAAATCTTCTTCCTATATGTAAATTACTTCCTCTAACACGTTGTGTGGTCATAATCCATGATTTGTGGGTTCTTGATACCCAACTTGTTGATACTCGTTTGACGATAAAACGCGCGTGTGTATATATCTCTAAAACTCAGTGATTAAGACATAAATATCATCAACGAGAAAAGGCGTTTTAATTCATGTACTAAACATGTCACAGAACCTAATCAAACGTACACCACTTTCCAGTCGTGTGAAAATTGAAGGGTCCAACGAATATAATTGGTGTCTGGATTACGGTGTGATGTTGGGAGCTGGAGAAAGAAACATCTACGTAATGCATGTGTTAAAATGACGATCGGGAGAGAAGAGTGGGCGATAACGAGTAAAGGAAAGGAAACTGAGAAGTTGGGTGAAAAGATAATGGTTGGAGACGATCGTTAACTGATGGCATCAATAAAATGATTGGATCTATGTTACGGAGAGCACCGAGTTACCGAGTGCTGAGCGGGGCGCACAGGATGTTGCTAATTCAGACACGCATGTACATGATTTATTCAAATATTCAGGCCATTTAGTTCACAAATCGCGGAGTAGTTGTGTGCAGCTGCACAAATAGTCATGGATCAGGCGAGGTTGGAGAATCAAGCCGTCATCAACCAGGACCCAAACCTTATTTGAAAATGTTTTTGATGAAACCATCTTATGATGTACCCATCCCATTTCTTAATGAAATGTGAAGGACACAAATAAATTCTCTGATGCTGGTAGTATTCGGTGATAGTGCACCTTCCCATTTTCAGGTTTAAATGGGGCAGAGAATCTATATAAAACGATTCGCGCTCTGGGAGATTTGTGGAAGAGATATTTCGGAAATGGGCTAGAAAATCGAAGATTTTGTAATGCAAAATAGACGTGTCACAATCATGCGAACACGATGGCGTGACAATAGCTACAATTCGGAGTGTTTGAGACAACAGTTTTGAGCATTCTTCATGAACGTTTAGACATGTGAAACGTTAGACGGTTTCCCATAATCCTCACTCACCTATATGCAGTGGCGAGTGGAAATGTGGGAGGAGAATTTGAGACTTTTTGAGTCGGATCAGGAAAATTGTATTGCTCAAATCGTTACGGGAGAGGAAACTTGGAAATATTTTTGGGTTCCCGAAATAAAACAAGAATAAATGCAATGAAAGCATAAGGGATCTCCAACTCCCAAAAAGTTTCGGAGCTAATCAACGAGTCGCTTCGGCATAAAGACGGCCTTCAAAGCACATGACAAACTTGGGCAAAAGTTAAAGACCGCGTCCCTCCTATGTCATCACGGGTTTATGAGATCCCATGCAACTGCGGCCAGTTACATGGACGGGACGTCACGAACCACTGAGGAACCCCTCCGTGGACACATTCGCCATTTCCTTTCTACAACTACAAATATGAAGAATTTTTTTCTTAATGAAATGTGAAATGGGTTCATCAAAAAACATTTTCAAATAAGGTCATGTTCAATTTTTCGAAAATTTGAGAATTTTGTGCGTAAATTGGAAAAGAACTTGAAATGGTAAATTCGAATCTCCTGCGCTTCGTTTGAAGCGGTGTCAATCTAAAAGTAATTTGAGAGGCGCTTGAAGGCAGTTGGATATTCTGAAACTCCCCGTCTCTTGTTTAACTTAATATTAATTAGTTTTAAAAATTAACTAAATATTACAAATCATACAATATTGGGAGCGAAAACTTGTAGCTATGTTTAGTTGCAATGTAAATGCTTATTACGTAAGAGTTACAAATATTGCGAAGAAGAACATGCTTTCTCGCAATCATTTGCTAGGAGCGCGAAGTAATATCGAGGTGATTAATATGGAACATTTATTGCTTTGAACGTCTCATTGAGGGACTAGAGACCATTCTAATTTCCAAGATTTAAAAGATTTCTAAAATCTATCTTGATGGATACGTGGGCGATATTGCCGATTTTTTTGTTGAATGAAATCAATTCTAAAAAATAATTTCTTTCAAGAAGAAATGTACATTTTTTTTAAAGTATTAAGTTTGGTGTAATTTTGCATAAATCTCATTTCTCGTGCTCCATTTCTAGCCTTCCGGAATTATCAAATTGGAATGCGACAATGGCATCCCGGTCCTTGGGACGGCACTTGTAGTACGGTGAATTCCGTCTCATTGTTGGTATATGATTTAGATGGATGAAACGCTGCTTTATAGTAAATATTATATAGTAAATATTATTTTGAAATTATTTAGTTTTCGCACCTGATGTTCTACGATTTGTAATGAGTTTTACAAAAAATGACACGTGTTAATTCGGTCAGAAATTGCTGTTGCATTAAGTATTACGTAACCATTTCTAAGGGCATGAACTATGTGTTGTTTTAGCACCACTAGATTAAATATCAAGCGGATTTCGAGTGAATTTTGGAAAGCATTAGGTATGGTCTTTAACCTACGCAGACAATGTGGTTAACACTGTCAATGACCAAAGATGAAAGAGGGGTGAAATGTACGTTGCGAAAATTAGGAACTTTTTAAAGAGGAGTATGACATTAAGTGTGGGGGGAAAAGTAAAATGATTTGAAAAGTACGGAAGGAGGAGATGGAATTACTTTTCGTATGGTGAGAGAATAGTGCAAGTTAAAGAATATACTCGTACAACCAAGGGAGGCCGCCGCAGCTCACAAACTCGTGCAAATTATGAAGGGGGGCGAGGGCGAGAAGTGCATTCGAAAGCAGGAAGCAAGAGCGAGCAGTTCACATTCTGATGAGTGAGGCGAGGAGTTTTCTGATGAGGGAAGAGACTGAATGGTTCATTCTGATGAGGGAGGCGAGGGCGAGAAGTTCCTTCGAAAACAGGAGACGAGAGCGAGCAGTTCACATTCCGATGGAGGCGAGAGCGAGCAGTTCACTTCTGATGTAGGAGGCGAGAGCTAGGGAAGTTTCTTGTCACTGGGGGACGGCGATGAACAACGCGCCGCCGAACGCCACGCCACGCGCAGCTAAAGGGCATTGCCGCGCACCGAGACGCCGCACCGCAGCCGCACGAATGCATTGCCGCAACATCGCGGACCACTCCGGTGTCGCTCGGCCCAGGACGAACACCGGGCAATGACTGTGTGAGCGCCCGAACTCCTCCAGCCCAGGACTCACGATGGGCCGAGGCGCAACCACTGCTGCCGCGAGCCACGCCGTCTGCACGACGGATCAGGCGATGCTAGCACCCGGGACGCCACCTGCTGTCGTGTCCGCCTCGCGCAGGGGTGGGGTGGGGGAGCGAGGAAGAGGCAACCCACAGCGGGAAGGCAGGGCCGCGCTGTCGCCTGACCGCGCTACGGTCAGGGCAAAGGACCGCTGCTAGCGTCACCGAGGTCATGAACGCCAGGGAGGGCGTCCTGCCTGAAAGGGCGAACTCTGGCCTGAAGGGCCGTAAGTAAGACAAGTTAAAGTTAGTTTTAAGAAAGACCTGTTTATAATGAGAGGCTCGAATGGCATGGATATTAAATCCACTTAAGAAATGCAGCCATGTGCTTTAATGCATTATGAGCACGAGAAAAAGCCCTATCACACATGTATCCTAGAAGATCAGCGAAGACACTAACCTGGCCCCATAGTTTATTTTCTAGTAAAGAATTTATATGCATTATAAACAGTGATGCAAACAAGATAGATCTTTGAGGCAGACCTGCTTTCAAAATACGTGGTGAACTTTACCATCTCCTCTAAGTACTTGCTGTAATTGGTAACTTAAAAAACTTTCAAACCATTTCAAGGGTAATCCTCATACTCCTGCATATTCTGGCTAATTTTAAAATTGATGAATCGGACAGTCATATGGTTATTCATATTCAGAATAGAGTAAATGGCATGGGTAATATTTTCAAATGCTTCTTCAGTTGATTTACTTTTTCTAAAACCATATCAATTGATACTTAAAAGGCTTATTTCTATCAAGGTATCGAATAAGCCTATGTTCCTCAATTTTTCAATTATTTTTGAGAAAGCTGATAGTAAACTAATTGGTCATAGATTATCAAACTTCATTGAGTTATCTTTCTTAACCTTAGGAACCACAGTACTTTGTTTTAATTTTACAGGAAATGTTGCTGAGTTAAACTTAAATTAATTGGCTTAAAACCGATATACTTCAAACACTCTTTTAACCACTGACACATTTATTGAATCAAAACCAGCAGAATGAGTATTTTTTAAATTATTTACATCCTTTGTACCTCAATTTTGGACACCAGCAATACATAGAAAGAATTCATGTAGGCCTAGGGGATCTGTGCCCTTCACTACTACCATGACTTACGCATTCATTCCCAAGATCATTAGTTTTGCTCTTGTTCTAACTGCTCTCTGCCACCTGGGTTGCAAGAGATAATGTATTTGTTTATTTCCTGCTGTACCATACCGTGGTCAGAGACTATGGTTTGATCTTTTCTTTCGATCTTTTGAACTTCTTTCTTTTCATTTATTCCTGTGTTATTGTTTACAACCTTCCCCATTACTGTGCCTAATTTTGGTCGCATAGTACTGACACTTCGCCACATCTACTTCTTTAGATAGAAATTCACAGAAATTCTTATAAAATTGTTTAAAAGAAATGCCATATGAACTACTTTTCAAAATTTTGTTCAGTTGTATTTTTTTCCCCCCCATTTTTCTAAGTATTACATTCAATGTCAGTCAATTACACAGTCAATAAAATTGTCATAGATTTCTATCAATGAAACGTCATTGTCTGTACCATTCCTTTTGAACGATGATTACAGTGAACATTAAATGCTATAGGACATTTCAGGGATGGACAAACAAATTACTTGGACCAAACAGTACTGAACCTATAATGAAGTGGGCATTTAAACTAATGACATTTCCATGAGGACAGAGGACTGTTAGCTGTAGCCCAATTGACTGATTTTTTTTTTCTTTCTTTTTTTTCTGACAATGAATCAGAGCAAACCAACTGTACCAACTTATTGAATGTAATATATCAATATTAAACCCAATTAATTATCTTTATGTTCAAAATATCAACATTTTATTTAGTCACCAAAAGGGATTCCTGAAAAATTTGTATTTTATAAATGTTTAATATTATGAAAATAGCCCACAAGTAAAATATTGCAAAGAAGTAATGTAGAGACCTAGATACAGGATATCATCCAGCATTAATATAAAATAACTATTTTATTAATATTATGGTAACATTAAAATATGACTCTAGTTGTAAGTCTAAATCTTGCAAATCAAATGAACAATTGACTAATACAACTCCCAAATCCCTACGCAACAAAACATAAGCCATTAATTGCTTTAAAATGAATAATAAATCAATGAAATATTGAATTCTAATAAAAAATATTAAATAAAAATAAAACACAGAAACTTGCAATAGAAACATTTTCATTCATGAAAAGTCATAAGTTGGAACCGTAACAAAACAATTAGAATTAAGAAGATAAAGTTTTTAATTGGTTGTCACATATAATTCTATTTAAATGTTGTTCAGTCACTTTTTTAAATTTTGGACAACCACAATAAATACTTCAAAAAATGTTTACCTAATAATTTTATTATAATAAATAAAATTATAATAACAATAATTATAATAAGTAAAACAATTAGAACAGTATATCACTGTTTAATATTAGTTATTTCCGTTACTTTTCAGAACTCACCTTGTTTCTGCTGACAAAAGCTCCTTGTTTAGAAGGCAATTCATTTTTCAATATCTTGAGAAAATTTTCTTCAACCTTCAAAATACTTTCATAAATATCACTAAAAGATAACACAGTGCTGGCACAGAAGTAGCACACCCTTTGTGGAAGACCATCGTTTTCCCTAGGCTACAAAATCAGGAAACGTAACTTAGTACTAAAATATTAACTTCATTCCCCAAATCTTAAAATATAAATGTTATAAAACTAGACTGTTTAACATACGTGAATAGGAAGATGCATTTCTATTTTCTTCCTTAAGCCATTATCAATATTGCTTCCAAACAGGGGCAAAAAATTGTTGTTTTCATTGCCACAGAGTCTGCATAGTTCAGAGATTGAATGCTTGTTTTCCCCTTCTGCTGAGATCTTTTTATCCCAGCCACTGATAACTTCTGTAATTTCCATATTGTATTGGAAGAAATAAATTTTATACTTCAATACAATCAAGAATTTCTGTTTATAGACATTTTATATCTGAAATCACAAAACAAAATGTTCCATTTTATATAATTCTATGACATTTTAATATAAAAAATATTTTAAAAAGTTACTTTGTTGTCACTGTCATGAGAAAACTACTAAAACCATTAATAATTAATTGATTACAAGTACAAACTAGGGCCCATGTTATGACTGTAAGAACAACACAATAATTCCAATTGATTGGTGAACTGACAACTGTTCCTTTCATTAGTGCTTACATTAATTCTATCAACAAGCACCGTAAAAGTTATTATTTGTTCCTAAATTTCGATAATAACAATAGTGAACAATTGACAATATATGCAAACTTCGTACCACAAATTACATCACTTACGCACTAACACAGAGCAACAAGCTGAACAGCTGAACTGAACAGCTGAACGTTAGGGACTGGTGAGGGCAGCACTATCGCCTCCGAGTGGCAAATGTTAAACTTAGAAGACGCGGGCTATTGATTAAAATATAGCATTTGTCGATTTTCTTTCAATGCGTTGAGACCTCTCTTAATTGGAAGTTTTCCTCTTCCTACAGGGAATTCAAGTTATTTTTTTGTGTAAGTAAAGTATAGAAGAGAGAAATTTAATTTTCCTCCACAATTATGTTGTATTTTTAAAAACCAAGTCTTGTGTGTTAGTGGACTTCGATAGAAAGGAACGAGACTAGAGTCAGTAACCTTTTTTATCTGCTGTTCCCAGAAACTAGGAAAGAAATTATCAGAACCACATATCAAAGACGACAAAAATGGAATTATACTTTGAAGCGAGAAAATTAAGATGGCAGTGGCGGCTGCTTAGGTTGCACAACCCCCAGATAATCGAAAATTATCTTATAATGTCTTAGGAATAAACATTTTCCTTTTAATGACATTCATTATTCAAGATATTGCAGCAATATTGTTATATATAAAATCATTCTGAAACGAAAGAACATTCAACTGGCGCTCTCTCTGGTGTCTGGTGCCTTCCTAGGTATTGCACCACGCTCTATAACTAGCTTACTATATTTGCACCGCGCTTCGACCGAGGGACACTGAGGGGAATACCAATATTTTGTCTATGTCTGACTAGCTTCAACTTAATAAATTATGGATTTTGCGTGTTATTGGAAGTACACAAATTCAGGCAAATATTGACGGCATTTATTGCATCATTTATGATTATTAGAGAACTTTGTTTCGTTTGATAATAGATTTATTGATCAAAATGTACACTTGAAGAATTCTTTGTGTAGAGTTGGCCATCCTGGAAGGTTGTCCCTTTCTGTCTCTCACGGTAGAAATTCTGTAAATGAAATAATTTTATTTGTGAAACGTGTCGAAGTAATAGTGCTTGTTTCAATGTGCTGGAATCGAACTTAAGTGCCCAGTGGAAATCAAAGCCAGAACAACGTGCGCGGAAAGTGTATTTACCTGACAAGGACACTATGCATTAAATGATGTAAGTAAAGTTTCAATATAGACTTTTATTTAACTTAGTTGTAATTAATTTACTTGAATTGCATACGTTTTTATTACACATTCGTATTTTGAATTTTGGAAATTACATTTCCGTCATTCGATGGAAGTGGAACTTTCAATCTGTCGCGGCACCAGCCGCCACTGGAAGATGGTTTATTTGAGGTCGACAGTGACCACTCTAAGGTTCGCCACAGACTAGACCGAGGAATAGGGAGTTTTGTGCCACCTCGAACGTAAAGCACTATCATTCTTCTGCTCATGTGCAGTTCAAGTTTCGCACCACTTGAGTGCATCTGCGCATGTGCAGAACGTTAATTGTGCTTTACGTTCGAAGTGACACAAACTCGCTAATGTGTTTCCAGAAATGTACGACGAGAAATGTGAAAAATTGAAACAAGGTCCCCTTATCGATCCCCCACACACTTGAAAGAGTTTTCTTGTTCTCCTCTGCGGAGACGAAGAGTTCCTCTCTCGAGTCAGTCAGCGAGAGTTTTCGCGGACTGACTCCGAGACACCTTCATTTGCTTTTTAGGTTCTCTATACTCGCTGGAATTACCTGAGGTTTAAACACTTGGATTGGCACGATTCTGGTGTGGAGGATTTTAGTCACGAGCCCTAAGTAGAGGTTTACTTGTTCAAACACGCCGAGTTTTCTTTCCAGCACTTTTCCACGTTTGTTCACGTGTCTATTGTCCCTCTATCCCACAAAGCAGGCCTCACAAACGCTTTCAAAAACGAAAATAAGTACTATATCCATTTTGAATCTTGTGAACATACGCTCCAAAGCCGCGATTCGACTGAGAACCAGCGAGTGCAGCCAGCGCGCCGAAACTCCCAGGTGCTCCCAGGAGTTCCGGCAGCAGACCGGCGTTGACGACTGAACGCCGTTGTATATTTTTTTAAAAGAAAAGACTTAATATGTTTGTAACAAATAATGTTCTTCAGCTTCTGGCTGCAATCGCGCTTTCCTGCTTTTCGGGGATTGATGATTCTAATATGTTCCATTGTCGTTCCACGACTGAGTTCCATTGTCGATCGTCAAAAGTCTTCCCCCCAAAGCCATTAATCTCATTCTGATCATGTTCAATGCCTGTCCCAGTCTTCGATACTTTCGACGTATCTGGAAAAAAGCAATTACCATTCAACTACACGGTAAAAATCTAATCAATCCGAACAATTTTGTACCTTTAGCCTCTTACCCATTTTGAGGAAAACTCTCGAACGAGGCATCCTTGATAGTCTGAGGGTCATTTTAATCAAGAAAAAAGTAATCGTACTAAAGCAATTCGGATTTAAGAGTGGCCATTCGTCAACAGCTCAAGCACTTCGATTAGCACAAGAGACATCTCCAGTTTTTTCCTATAAAATGTCCATCCCAGGAGTATTCTTTCACCTCAGCTTTGCATTTGACATACGACATCACTCCCTTCAACTATATAAACACTCCAAGATTTTCCCTGCTTCCCTTCTATCAATACTTCTCACCTTCCTTCAGAATCGATTCTTTCAAACCAAATACAAATTCCAAGTACCGTGTCACTATTATGGAATTGGTGCTCAAGAAACGGTCTTAAGCTAAATGTAAGCAAATGTCAAGAAAATATTTTATTCATGGAAGACTGGCATATTCAACATCGTTCCGTCCCTCAAAATAAACAATAAATGCATGAAAGGGACAAAAAAACGTCTTGGTATAACAGTGGACACGCGCCTCCGATGTGGTGATCATATTAAAACATTAAGATCAATGATGATTCAAAGGATAACGCACCTTCTATCACTATTTAGATCAAAGGAACTCAGAAATAAATCAAAATTGTGTGTTTACAAGGCTGTCGTTAGAAGTACAGCAATGGACGGCTGTGAGATATGGGCTACAGAATCAAAAGAAACTTGAAAAAACTCCTAGTGGCAGAAAATTATCGCATGAACACATCTTACAACCTTAAACCCGACATCCCTCTTGAACTTGTTAAAACAAAAGTCAGGCTCACACTAATTCACCAAAAAGTCTACGATCAAGAATCTGCAAATCTGAAAGCTCATGTGAATCATTCACATCAAAAAAATATGAAGAATATGCTCACAAACCACCGCGATTAAAAAACAAACGATTCATCTACGAAGACCTGCCGTCAATTTTTTATATTCAACCCTCAGTCTCAGTACTAGACCAAAATACCACAGTTAATCAATTAATAAATACTCTCAGCATAGGCTCTCATTGACTTGATCGTATGAGCTAGGCGTACAAGAATTTAAGAAGACAATCTACTAACACAAAAGCCGGATGAGCATCCCAACAAGGGATGCGGACCAGACAAATACAGCAGTATCAAAGGGCGAAGGATCAGTCAGCCAGTGGGGTCAGCAGCCGAGCGGAGAGTCCGAGAGTCGTCAACAAGTCGTCAGGTCGCAGTGAAGCAGGACGCGTGCGGTGAGACACGGCTGCGGGATAGCCACCACCACACGCAGGATCCAGCGCCGAACGGAGTCGGCGCCACGCTGGGTCGCAAGGAGCCCTGCATTGCCACTGCCCACTGGGCACGGGCAGCGACGACTTCAGTCACTAGCGAGCTGCAGGCTCGCGACCACGACGGCCTAGTCAGAGGCCGGGGCCCGCGTTAAGGGGCAGCGAGGTGAGCTGCCCGCTCGCCTCATAGACCGTCTTACCCAGAGGCCGGGGCTCGTGTAGATGAGTTTGGTGTCCACACCGTATAAGTTCTGTCTTTGATTGAACAACATATTAAAACCTTTCCCACCAAAATGTCGCATTACTCAGGGAAAGAAGTGCATTATCATCACGTAGAAATGTCTGTAAAAAGTATGTATGATATGTCGAAGACTGTATATCCTCATATCAAATTATCATATGATATCTACTTAAGAACTTTATGAGAGTTTTAATTTGCGATTTGGGTGACCCCAGATTTACATATTCTGCACATGTGAATCATTTCTGGTTAAAATAAAGAGTCCCTCATTAAACAACCTTGCAAAACGTGTAGCTATTGCAGAACTGTCGGTGCACAAAAAGAGAAGTAAAAAGTTATATGCAAAAACGAAAGAAGTAAAACGAAAGTGTGCGGGAAATGAAAAGGTTGCAGGATTATGTTTTGACTACATGCAAAATTTTCAACTTCCCAAGATATCTGTGCAAGAAGCATTTTATTTGCAGCAACTCACCGTTTCTCTATTCTGTGTCACAGATATAGAAAATAACAAATTAACAATTTATCTCTAGTATGGAGGTACTGACAAGAAAGGGCCAAACGAGGTTTGCTCTTTTCTGCTTGACTATTAAATCTGAATTGCAAGAAACTGTCAATGAAATGCATCTGTTTTCTGATGGACACCCTGCTCAAAATAATAATACAATTATCAGGGTAATGAACTACCTTGTAAAAACTGGAAGATTAAGTAATGTATTCCAGTACTATCCTCTCCGCTGGAATTCATTTCCCCCATGTGATCGAACATTTGCTGGTACCAAGACTCTAATATGTCGAAGAGATAGAATATATTCCATGTACGAATATATTGAGCTTATTGCTCACATATCTCAGAAACTAAGAATGCAAGTCAAACTCGTTGGTACACAAAATATCATAGAGGTCAAAAAATGGTGGCCCAAGTTGTGCAAGTCATCTTGCTTGCCTGAAGACAACTTGGAATGTCTGGTGAAGCAAAACCGAAAGAAACTTTTTATGTTGCAAATTGTATGTGTTTCCACCACAATTAAACTTTTCCAGGAAAAATTGAATGTTATGAGTGGATTGATGGCCTCATGAAATATCGATTTTCATTTTTCAAGAATCAAAATGTAACGTCAAAAGTACCTTCAAAAAATATTACGATAAGGTGATTCCAATTAATTTACTAAATTGACATTACATAACAAAATTGATGCAATACATTC